ACATTTATATTTTTTTACACCTATCATATACTTGTTGCAATACAATATAGTCAAATACCAATTATAGTGTAACGTCAAACTACTAAACAAAGTAAGTACCAATATTATAATTCATATTGATTTTTTTTTCTATTATTAATAAAATTTAATGAAAATAATATACAAGAAAAATACAAAATATTACATATAGACCTTGAATGAAAGAATAATATTTTCAATTAAAATTCCACTATGTATAGGAGAAATTTTCAAATTGTATTACATTATACCAATATACGTTCCAATTAATGAACACGGACAATTTATACATATCAGTCACTGAAAATCCAACGCACTTGTAGGGTATTTTGATGATTTGAAGGACCAGCTCGATAGAATAAATTTGTAGCGTGTATCTACCGAACAGATTGACGGCGTCAAGGATAGGCAACCAAAGTTGCATGTACGATTAACGTTGTTAAAGGTGACAAGACGACGACGCCTACTCCCAAGATATACGTAATCCAACACACAGCTAAACGGATTGATGGTGGCTGGCAATGACGCGACGATGGACAACAAGGAACCAGAACGCACCGAAACGCGAAGGTGTGAAGGATACAGGTTATACAGTGGGAAATAGGATTATACAATTTCCGTATAAGCGGGGGTCTCTCTGTGCTCGGATCGGTCTGGTGCAATGACCACAGAGCTCACAATAAGTGGAGATAATCTTACAACTAACTTATGCTACGGAAGTATATGCAGTTGTCACGATATCCACTGATGCCCCAGAATGTCCACGCATCAATGACTGAGGTGGAGGTATAAGATTGGTCGATCCACAGCGTATTGCATCTGGACGACTTGGGCGGCCACTCACACAACACACAATGATTGCTGGCGGGCTTACGCAAGTGACGAGTGATGCCAAGAATAACGCGGATGATAGTGTAATGATCACCGTACGTTCGATTCTTATTGGCGATAGTCAGTTCGGATTCTCTAACAAAGAGGTAGATATTACAAAAGGAACCAAATTAATGAGTACTCACCGATTTTGAACGAAATATTATGATTTATTGATATCCGTTATGTAAATGATCTGCAGACTCAGTCTCCGCGAAATCAGATAAGGTTACAAAGATTATTGTGTCATTTGACTGATGACAACAATGAGAAAAGATAGAACGTGTATGTACACAATTAATAATAAAAAAGATCGGGAGCTGCTGTAATAGCGCGCGTCGCCAGTACACACCACACAGTACTACGTATTATAATATTACGATTTCTGTTGGTTATGTTGACACAACGTAAAAAAAACTAGAGAATAGAAAAATATAAAACAATATGGCGGTGTTTACATTGATTGAGCAAAGACATTATAAATACGTTTTGTATGGAGTGGATAGAGTATGTAGTGAATAGGAAGAGACGGGAAGAGCGGGGATAAAAGAGTTGCCCATTGTGCGTGCTGTACGCTGTCGCTGTTGTAGATATAATGACAGAAATGCTGACGCCAGCAGCATGAACACACTTATTAATAGATGTGGTCACAAAATATTTTATTTGGTCAAATATCAATAACAACTGTTTAATAGTATTATTTAGTTTAATAACATTTTTTTTTGTGGTTTCACTGAAATGTTACACAATATAGTGATACTGATCTCACTTGCGTAACAGAAATATAAAAAAATTCTTTAACTAAACCTACGCAATGTGATACTTTTATCACGGAATTTAAAAAAAAATTATGGTACGCATCGTTTTTCAAAAATAATTGGCACTTTGTGTGTGAAAAGCCTACAACAACTACAATAATTTGTAATAATCGATCTTTATTCCTAAAATTACATTGAAAAGTTCTGGCAAATTATTTCTTAAAGGTGGGTGTCAAGCTCATACTACTAAAGGCATATTAATAACAGAGCAAACAGTAGAATCGTCTTTTGCAACACTTCCTTCACAGTTAAGTATTTTAAATGATTCATGTTGCAATATTACACTTAATCACCGTTATCCAAAACCCATTCATTTAGATGAAATATAAAATTTTAAATTCGACAAAGAAGCTTTTATAAAAATCATTTCAAAGTTAAATACACAAGATGAATTACTAAATTCAATATTAATAAGACGTATGAATTTGTATGTACAAACAAATATTTAATCATAATAATAGTTATTATAATATTATACGCGAGTATAAAATTCTGTAAAAAAAAAAAAATGTTTCAGCTTTAGAAAATGGTTATTGTCCTGTGCTCATTGCTCCACCCTCCACCAAAACAATAAACTTTACTTTATAATTTATAGTTACATAATATTATACAAAATTTAAATCTCTTATACATTTTTTCATACTAATAGTAGTTATCCTTTATTTTTTAAGAATACACATTTTATTTTATCTACGCACTTGTTAAATATAAGTCTTAGGAATTTAAATTATGATTTATGTGTGATTAATATTTATATAATAATTTATAGTTTATAATTATATAATAAACGATTATAATATGACATTTCGTTCGTAAATCGTAATAATAAAATATTTTTAATTTGTGTATAATACCTACAATAAATATTATAACATTTGACTAAATTTTGTTTTTTTTTTTTACATAATTATTCCGATTCCATAGTTCATATTTTAATTATTGTAATAATAGTTTATTCATTCAAACGATTATAATATAATTATTATATGACATTTAATTTGTAATAATTGTTACATATTTGTATACAATATACTATAATGTACACTAACTGGAATAACACTTAATTTTGATTATTTTCTTATATAATTATTAATTATTCCGATATAGTAATAATTAGTTTTTTTTAAGGTACCCAAATAGTTCGATAATTCAAGTAATACGGCTTATTGAAGCGGTTTACAGCAAAACTACTTATTACAAAAATTGTAAAGAAGAATTTTTTTAACATTCGTAAGACGCTTGATTTTCTATATCTTTATTAATTAGTTGGAAGCGTTTTAAAGTATAAATACCTATTACAAAAATTGTAGAATAGAATTTTTCCAGAAACGTAAGAAGCCCGGTTTTTTATATATTGTTCCAATCGTCCAATATAGCATGGTAAATTAACACGTTTTTTTTAAACTTTTTATCAATTAATTATTTAACTAATTAATAAAAATATCGAAAATCAGGCTTCTTACGATTCTAGAAAATATTCTCCTCCTTAAAATCGGACATTTCCGTGGTGCCTTTTCACTTGACGAGTCACCAAAAACACCATATAAAATTGAATGTGGGATATTAAACTTAGACGTAACTTCAGGTATATTAAGCCATTGGGTAGCGTATCATAAAAATAAAAATAAAATTTGATACCATTTTGATAGCTTTGGTGATTTATCACCACCATTAAAATTACAAAATTATTTTAAAGGATTTAATATTGTTTATAGCTATTCCAGTTATGAGTCTTATAAGATGATTTTCCAATTTAATAAGATGATCTAATTAAGATAATATAAGATATATATGAATTATAATTCATTTATTTGTGGTCATTTGTGTCTTAATTTTTTACATTGTATGAATCAGTCACTAAGTTTATCGGGGACTAATACATCATTATTTGCAAACTATTTTCCAGCAATTCAAGTTTATGATGATTCTGAGATCGCTTGGTTATTAGCTTTACAATCATATAATTCTTTTACGAACATAAATTCTAATAATAATTGTATACAATTTAAAATGTATTATCCGATATCTGAATATAATGTTTACAAAACAATAGAGATTGATGATGGGTGTTTTGAAATCTAAGATATTAAAAATATAATTTTAAAAGCCATAAAAGAAATCAACCAAGAAATATCTAAAGCTGTGCCAGCAATTGATTATAGTTTATGGATTAATCAACACGATTTTATGCGTTATACAAAATGTAATTATGTGATATGTTTCAATAGAGAAAATAGTGTGGGGGCAATATTAGGCTTCTCCAAAAATGAATATGGTCTTGAAATTAAATCAACCGATAAGAAAAACTTGTTTGTATTAATCAGATAAATTCTATAAAAATAATGTGTAATATCGCTAACGGGTCATTCGACAACAGTCGTCAATCACATTCTATTTATGAATTTTTCCCTACTGTAAGGCCTGGATCGAAATTAGTTCAATCTCCAACAAACTTGATATTATATTACGAACTGAATACAGACATAATTAATTCACTAACTATTGATTTAGTCCATCAAGAAAATAGACCAATTCATAATTTTGAAGAAAAATCAACAGTTGTTTTACATATAAGGCGATGTGCAACGTGAAATGGGTTTAAAGTTTGTTAATAAAAGACCACTACAACCAGTTAAATCAATCAGTAATAAATCTACTTCAAAGCTATCGGTATTATGACCTACTGAGTACCGAATGTTGTTATTTTATTGTTAGATAAATTTAATTGACTAAAGCCGTTTTTGTAAAATGTAATGAATATCCCACTATTGTTTAATATGCGGATATTAGTGGTGGTGTGCTGGACACTCACATAATGTTTATTTACTAGTCACACAACAGCACTACACGACTTCAACTGTTAAACTAATTGCCTATCATTTACACTTTAGATCGCTTCCAGCCTAATTAATAGTAAATCCAATACACCCACCACTCCTTTCAGAATCTTAATAAGATTGTTAGGTGTATATTCATTGAATATGAACAATGCCTACTCAATTATATTTGTGCAAAATTATAATGTAATAAATAAGGAAAAAAAATTAAAAAATTTCTTTAGGTTTTTTAACATTTTAAGACAATAGAATATTAAAAAAAAAAATAATAATATTGTTGCTAACGATTAAAAACTGTATAGTTTTATTTGAAATAAACATGATGTTATATTTTTTGAACGACGACTGTTGTATGCGTTTACATTTCGACGTGAGCTAATATCTCAAGACATTTTGAACTTGATCGACAACAATACGTTTCTCTGGCGAACTTTCTCATAATAAACTTTCTCACATTATGAATTATTCTAGAGGAATATTATTTATGGATTGCGTAAAGGCCTCCAGTGCCTATGTTGTTGTAAAAGTATGTATAATTTCTGTGCACTGTGCTCATTTATTTTGTGCATACAAGAAACCCTTCACCAAAGGCACAAATTATTTTTAAAAAGGACCCCAATTGATTGGTTAGTTTAAATATTAGATCTTGAAAAATCCAAATATTATAAAATAATTTGAATGTGTTCTATACATGTATATTTTTTTTATGTTAATTTCATAAAAATCGTATGTTACTTTTTAATAGTTTTTAATGTGCCACCACCAGGAACTAAGAGTCTGCGCAGGCCTGTATGTCTGTGCATGCTTAAAATATCTACTAATTTATTGAAAACCTAAGATTGATACAAATTTTCTAATATTATTTCAAAATGAATGTATTTTTTTAGTGGTGCTCTCAAAGATCAGACACACTCATAGATGATCGTCACAATATTGTCAAGTATGTAAATAAAAAAGTTTATTGAATATTATTTTTATCTTATCATATATTTAATTCGATTTTATAAATTTTAGACCTGGAATGGTCGTGGGTTTCTGCCACCCATTGTTGGACATGACCGTGGTAGGAAACGAAAATATATTGAAAAGGTACGATCTGAAGAGCAACGATGCAGTTTTGGCGGGTGAAAAACATATGGGCATATATGAAGAACTAGCAAAGGATCCGAGCGTACATTACTCTGCTGGGGGTTCCGCTCAAAACTCATTAAGATTCATCCAGGTAATTTCAACAATAAGCTAAAATAAAACAAAAATATAAATTTTACCATAAAATTAAAAACAAAAAAATATTGTATAGTGGGTATTAGAGGAACCGAATTCGGTTACTTTCTTTGGTGCAGTCGGTAATGATCGGTACAGCGAAATTCTGACACGCGAGGCGATCCGGGACGGACTGGACGTAAAATACCAATACCATTCTGACATACCTACTGGTAAACATTGAATTACAATTTTTTCTTCAATAAGTGTATCTAATATATAAATATATAATAATTATTTTTTATTACTTCATATATCTACAGGAACATGTGCTGTCATTGTAACAAACGGTGGAAAAGACCGATCACTGTGCTCTAATTTATCAGCATCGTGGAATTTAACGGATGACCATTTAGAAGTCCCAGAAAACCAGAAAATAATTGAAAATGCAGAGTTTTATCTAGTGACTGTAAATTAATTAATTGCATGATATTGAATTAGTTATTTTCATTTGTCAAATTGTTAGAAATATTTTTTTAATTTTAATTATTTCAAATCGTATATGAAAAAATCTTGTTTTACATTTTACTATATCGTATAATGAACTACCTGTTATAATTATATAATTATATAATTTCATTGTGTTTAAGGGCTTTTTCTTAGTATCAAATCCAGGCACGGTCGAAAAAATTGGAAGAATCGCCGACGAACGGAATCGTCCGTTATTGTTCAACATGAGTGCTCCATATATTTTCCAATCGTATTTCGATTCGGTTATGACAATTTTTTCATATATAAATATTATTATTGGAAATGCCGAAGTGAATAGATTTAATTAAATGCACTGTAAATAATGTAAACAATTATTAGTACAAAATATTTTCTTAAACTTTAGGAAGCTAAAGCATTTGCCTTTGCAAATAACTGGAATACAACCGATATAGAAATGATCGCAAGCAAGATGAGTACATTTAATGTTGGAAAACAAGGGTATCGCTTAGTTATTTTAACTCAAGCCGAAAAACCAGTTATCGTAGCATTGAGTAAGTATTTGCATGAACATAATTCTTGTGGCTGTATGTAAACTGTGGCAAAATTAACCTTTTTCTTAAAGTCGATATGTAAACTACGCCGAAAAAAAATTGATTTTACACTTTAATTATATAACTTTATCTACGACAAAACCGATTAGATTACACAAACTGCGGAAGTTTATTTAATACTAGCTGAACCCGTGCACTTCGTTGCACATCAAGTGTACCAACTCTATGTGACTCAAACTTTTTTCAATTCGTTATTTAATATTCGGTGTATGGTTTCAAAATTGATCTTAACTTTTCCGTTGCCTGGAATATAATAATATATAATATATAATCAATTAATACAAAATCCTAACCTAACCGTACTAAAGTCAGATGGATAAAAAAACAACCTAATTTAACCATTTTCTGGTGCTCTGACAACGCGTTTAAATATATAGATTATATTATCTTTTGTGCAGTACAAATAAAAATCGTATAATAAATAATATTGGTACAATATACCAATTACCAATCGATATGGTTATTAACTATGTATTAAAATATATACCAGGCACACCCGCAGATAAGTAGCTCACTAGATGCAAAATACCTACTTTTAGTGACAATATGAGCTGTGGGGGCTAAGCTCCCCATTTCCTTACCATTATTTAATGACATATTTATGATGAATTTTTAAAAATATAAGAACTCATAATTTATATTGATTAGGTACCTAATAATTAGATACTTACTTACATAATGGTTACCTAATATAAATTGGTTATCAATTGGAGTATAAAATAATTAATTGTTTGGAAAAATATACCATTTAATGAATCAGTCCTAATTTTAGTGATACCTACGTTAGTTTCATGTTTTATATTATTTATATCAAAGTAAAAATTTTAATTGCAATTTTAAGCATTAACTGTAATTGTTTTACAATGCAATTAAAAAATGAATATATAATGGTATAACAATACAATAAACAGTCTATAGTGTTAGGTTTATAAGTGTACAATAATAATAATACCATCATAAAATTTTATTTTTATACAGTAGAAACCAATATATTATTATAATAATGATTGGATCAAACATACCTACCCATAATAATGTACCTCGCTACTGCCGTCAATTTTAGCTCAAAAGATCTTAAGCTTTAAGAAAATTAAAGTTAATTTACATTGTCCGATTTTTATTCTGAAAAACCCGAACTCGCCAGAAAATTGTCTATAGATCGTACGGAACGCTATGTAAACATTAAATCTTATATTATTGTAAACTGTAATTGATCAAAAATTGCCTAAATGTTGCCCCTCAAATATTAGCCGTAGCAGGGATCCTTAACGAAATTAATATTATATAATATCATTTAGTGGCCAAAATAAATGTATTAATAGACGCGTGGTATACAGTTCTTACATCACTGTACCCTATACTAAAGTTCGACAGACGACTGTTTCTTAGCATGGGTATATAATGTAATCGGTCGACTGCTATTGTTATTATTATATGAATATAGATATACAAATTACATGTAAACATTTTTTTTACCGATTTCAACCCTTTAAATTCAAAATTTCGAAAAATCCTTTCTTAGCGGATGCCTACGCCATAATAGCTATCTAATAGCTATCTGTATGCCAAATTCCAGTCCAATCCGTCCAATGGTTTGAGCTGTGCGTTGATAGCAGTCAATCAGCTTACTGTTTTATATGTACAGAAGATAAGTATTAAGTACCTACTATATACTTTATATAATACCGATACTATAACATAAGTTAATAATTATATAGGTCCCAAACACAAGCTAAGCTTATACGGAAGTCGCAAATATTTTTATTATGTGTATACAATATGTATATTATATTTATGGGCACACGTAAACTGAGCCCAAACGACCTATTTTTTTGTAAACTACGTCGTGTTTCTATTGTCTTGGTGAATATTTACAAGTTAATTCACAATGGCTATTTAGCTATAATAGTATTGTATCACTGTTATAATAATAACTATATAAGTACTACCGTAATACTACCGTAATAAAATTAAACAAAAATATAACATATAGATATAAGATTAAGTATGGCAGGTAGGTAGCTGGTAGGTAGGTATGTCATATTTTCCGGTATGTAGCATACTATAAGAGTATACCAATGTTTGCTTCCAACTTTTTCTTATAGGAGGTCTAGTTTCAAAATTTAAAGTACCAAAAATAGCTGACCAAGATATTGTGGACACGAGTGGAGCTGGCGATGCCTTCGTTGGCGGTTAGATGATTTTTAATCTGATATTGTAAAAATTCAAATATTATAATTTCTTTATTTAAAAACAATTTTCATTACAGCATTTATCGCTAAATATGTTTTGGGTCACTCTCTGAAAAGTTGTATCCATTCTGCAATCAATGGAGGAACTTATATCATAAAACAACATGGAATGACAAGAGGAGATATTGTGTTTGATCTATAAATATATTATATTCACAGTGATGGAGCGTTGAACAATAAATAATAATGAATGATTCCTTTCAAACGTGGATCTTACAATTTTTTAACCGTGCACGGATTTGCTACTCGGAAAAACCCTAAGTATAGAAAAAATATGAGTTTTGTATTATTTTTTTGTTTTCTGGGACTTGGCTGTCATCCGTATAAGTGTATAACCATCAATGCTGCTAATTAGTTTGAGCTGCACAGTGTTCAGCCTTTTCCGCCATTGTTTGTTCTACAATTACAATAACAATATAACATATTATTATGTTCCTGTATGCAGTAATAAATAATAATTATATATTTATATATTAGGTATAACCCTTATTTAAGAAAAGTAATTCAACGTTCGCCAGTAAGTTTGTCAGAATGGCCTCGAGTTTCAGAACTTCGCTGTACCGATCATTTTCGATTGCGTTCAGTCAGACTGGTGCCGGTTCCGTTCTCCATAGCTCGGTAATACTCACTAATCAAAATATTTTATTTTTAATTATATGATTTTAAATTAAATTTCTTTTAGTTATTTATTGAAATCACCTGGACGTTTTTCAATGAGTTTTGACTGGAACCTAAAGTAGTGTGTATTGTACCATCAGATGTTTTCTAGTTCATATGAAACCCATATGTTTTCCCCTGCCAAAACTTCGTCGTTTCTCTTCACTCCTCAAAGTACAGATCGTAACTTGTAAATATGGTTTCGGTTCGTGTCACGTTCATGTCCAATAATGGGTTGTTAGGCACAACCCCTAGTGTGCGGGTACTGAGTCATAAAACGCCAGAAACGTGTGATGCTGAAACGAAAGGATCCGGCCAAAATCGAGTAGCTATATAGGTACCGCTCAATGGTCACGATGGCGAAACATAAATAGCAAAAAATAAAATAAGCAATATTAGTTAATGCTTAACAGCGCTTTCAAATATATCAAAAATGTTTGTTTATTTCAACTTATTTTTATCAAAAAATTTTGTATATAAATCAAAAAAGTATATTGTAATTAGACCAGTAAATTAAATTTATATGCAATGGTACCTTATTATTTCAATATAAAAGGTTCTATACGTCTGAGTTATAACTAACAATTTCTGAAAAATGTAATTAAAATTACCTATAAAAAAGATTTAAAATATGCATCTGAATCCTTTTATTTATTTAATAAGATTCTGAAAACGATTCTGAGCGAGATAGTCTGTCGGATAATTTTTTATCTTCCAACTGTACCAATACTAATATATTAAATTATTTATTTAACATAATATTTGATTATCATAATACTTACATAATCCCACTTCGATAAATATTATATACCTAGTGCGAAGGGGATGGTTTTCGAGTATGACACTAGAGTGGAGGACTCAGCCTAGCTCTCTGAGAGGAGGTTTTAGGAAATTAAATGTAATGGAATATTAGGTATCTGTTTGAACAACTGTTATGAGGGTTGGTATAAGACAGCCCTGTCTAGTTTCTACCTCCCTATTATAGGTGTATATTATTGTCATTTACCTTTAAATAGTTTAAATCATATACCAACTCATGAATGTATTCAATATCCACCTAAAATCAAAAACAAAATCAAATTATGTATTTTTTTTGTAACTCCAAAAAATCACGATTTCAGTTTTCAATAAAATTGAAATATCAAATAATAATTAATTAATTAATTTAAATTTTGAGAACCAATATTTAACTTCGTTTTGAAGCACTGGAATTATTATAATATTATATCCTGTCCACATTTATTTATAGTTTTGTTATTAACCATTTTCTATTATTATGCCAATATGTATATTTATATTTAATTGTGATCGGCCGACTCGAGTCTCAATGGCAGCTGATAGTAAAAATGTGTTTCATAGTTTAAAATTATTATTTGTTTGTTTTATGCATGCATTTATTTTTGACACTTGTATTTATTTCTTATCCATGAACGATTCAAAGTTAAAAGTGTCTCGACAGCTTGCTAAAAATGGACAAATTTATTGTAAAAATACATAAGTCAAAAGTAAGTGTCTATTTTTTCTTTAAATTCATATAATTGTTTAGTAGTACACATATTTAATATGCATTAAGGGGTATGCATACCGACCGTTTCTAAGGAGTTCAATATAGGCAATTTTCTAATTGTGTGCATGTGGGTCGTGTAAATGTAGGCTTTTATAGGAGTCGATTTTCGATATTTTATTTTCAACGTCCAATATTAAATTCTAAAACTTGTGATATTTTACTTTTTGAATTTGAATTATTGAGTTTAGTAATAACAAATATCAAAAATTGACTTCTATACAGGCACAGATCAACTTCTCATCTACAATATTGATAATAGGTGTTTTTACTCTCAAACGGCTCAATAAACATATTATTGGAAATACAAAAGTACATTTTCATAGATTATTACTATTCATACCCCTTAAGTTAAAAGTAGCCCTTAAAATATGTTACTGATTTATATTGTATTAAAACTACAATTTTGACAAATAAAACAATTTATATTTTATCTGTAAGTTAATTTTAAAAGTAATTATTAAGGTAATATTAAATTATTGAGGAAATTAAATTTATTTTGGTTTATATTTTTTGTATTATTTTGGTTCTAATTGTTGTACCTGCTTATTAGAAAAATACTAATACAAATATAGAGAACAATATTAGCTTATCTGAAGAAAACCTCCATTCCCCAGGAAAAAGATCAAAAATTAGTAAATATAGTGAATAATTAATTTCATATCATATATTTAGTATTCATGTACAGTTTATATTTATATATTACATAACAATTTAATCTTCAAGCTAATGATATAAGTTTGATTTTTGACTAATATGTACAATGTGCATACAGTCACTAAACATGAAATAAGGATTAAAACAATTATAATTTCAATTTGTGGAATTTTAAATTTTGTACACAATAGTCAATATTCACTCATTTTTATACTCTTTGGTAAAATGAATAACTGTGTATGGTATTTGTTAAAATTAATTTTAATATTAATTATATTACATATTTATGTAGAAAAGTTACAACCTTAATAGAGATGCTGGTCAAAAAAGTAAAAATGCTTTAGTTTTATTTTCAAGTTGGTTTGGATCATATCAATCAAATAACATTATATTTCCACAGCATTTTGGAAGAAAATTTCGAAATTAGTGGTATACTTCAAACAGTAAAAAACTAACTAATATTTTAAATCTGTACTTATATATATATATATATATAGAAACTGTATCTATTACATAAAAATATAAATAGAACATATTATAGAAATCTAGATGGGAGGCTGTTATTTAAAATATACATTTTATAAAATAAAAGATTTGTTATATTTTTTGCATTCATATATTCTTTGGGAAAAATATACATATTTTATTTACGGTAAGTAATTATATACCCTATTCATAGGGCATATTCATAATATGTACCAATTACTAATACATACAATATGACAATGTGTGTTCAAGTCTTTAAGGTTAAAACTTAAAATAGTTTTATTGGGTTTATGTACTTGTAATATTAAATTTAGAATAAAACAAAACATTTTAGGGGGACGTGGGGGCTAAGCACCCAAATATCAATTAAACCTAGAACTGATTGCAACTCTTACAATTCAGACCAATTTACTCCACTGTGACTGTACTATAGTTTTCAAAATTGTGGGCAATATAGACTATAGAATCCCTTGAAAACTTTAAACAGTTACATTAAAAAGGAAAACGAATCTCCTGTAATTAAATATCTTAGGCTTAATAAAAAGGATGTCAGCACATTATTTGTTTTCTCTCCCTGACCCTTACGCTACACAGCAAATTTTACTTTCACAATAATGATTATAGGTAATCATAATAATTTCTAAAATTAGAGTGAAATTACCACTTATAAAATTTAAAGGTAAGATTATTATCTAGGGCATCTTACAAGCATTTAATTATATTTATTCTTAAAGCAATTTATGATTATATTGAAATTGTAAATTTTTCATACAATTTAAAAAACTCATAACTAGCTTTAAAATTATAATATTATAAAACATTTGTGAGATGACCTAAATAATAATCTTATCTTTAAATGTTATAAGATTTCATTTTATCCTAATTTTAGAAATTATTTGATTTCAATCATTATTACCAAAGTAAAATTTGCTATATTGAGCGTGGGTCGGATAGAGAAAACAAGTAGTGAGCTGACATACACAATACAGTATTAAATCAAAGATTTTATACATGACACATTACATAATATTTTTATACTGCTTAAATATCATCAAATTTTCAACAAATACACAATATACCTATAAATATACATAAATTAATATTGTAGTAAAAAACGTACCTGGGTAGAATTTAAATGTTTATAATAAAATGCTATTTATATTTTTAATTTATCAATTTTAGATGTCTACCAGTTGACCACTTAGCACAATTTGAATTTCATTTACAATTAATAAAATATTAATAGGTACTAGGTATATACATACAAATTATTATGTTAACACCAATTTCATACCTATAGACAGTCATGTTAAGCATTGAAATACTTGTGTTTAAATACTTTTTTTGTATCAAAAATACTTCTCATATACTTTAAGACCAATGTATTTTAAATACTTAAAAAAATACTTTTTATTTGTAATTTTATTCTAGAATACTAAATACTTTTTTCATTCTAGTGGTAGACTCCAAATTCCATTTACCAATATTTTGGAATATATCTACTATTTTAAATTTTGTTTCTAAAATGTTATTTTATAATGGTTCTAATTTCTGAAAACTTTTAAATAAGGTTTCGTCCAAATACAAGTAGATAACAAATTGAATGAATACTGAAACCCCTGTCTGCTTCTCACTCCCATATACCATGGCATACGAGAGACTGACCACCACTGGTTGGATTGGATTTTATCTTGCATCTTTAAAATATGGTCTGTCTTCTTATTTAATTGATTTTAGTAGTTAATATAATATATTGGAATTAATGTTATAGCACTTGAAAAAAACCATATTTGTTTACTTAAATTTTGAATAGATTTAAAAGGTATTTGTATTTATATTTAAATAATTTTAAAAGGAAATATTTGACAAATGTGGGCAAGTTAATGAAAATAATTAACTGTGGCAAGTTAAGTTAACTCAATTTAATTGCCTTCAACTAAAAGTTAAAAGTTAACCAAAAAAAACTTAACCCGGTAAGGTGAAAGTTAAGAAAGAAAATCAAATAAACTTAACTCAGTTAAAAAAAAGATAATTTTATTTCAAGTTACAATATTTTTAAATCATAAACTGCTCTAGTATTTTGATATACACAAATATTTACCAAGATGTTTAAAACTGTGAAAAATTAGATTATTATTATATATAATTAGTAAATAAATTACCAAAATTGAAAAAAATAAAAATAAAGTAATCAGTATTGTCTAGTTGGTTTCACATGAAAGAAAATTAACTTAACTGCATGGCAATGATAATTAACTCTAAAAAGTTAAGTTACAGCAATAAAAATCTTAACCAAACTATTTATCAAGTTAAAAACAAAAATAATTAACTAATTAAGTTACCTAAGCCAAAGAGGATTAACTACATATTTAAACTTAAAAATTAAAAAATTGCTCACAAATAGATTGGATATAAAGTAAATAAAAAATAGAAACATATATTTAAAATAATACATTTTATTCTCATACAATGATGCAACAATACAACATAATTATACAGAAATGAAAAATACTGTAAATATAAGTCATCATACAATTCGGAATTCGGAGTTTTATTAAAATATACAAATGTTGATTCTATAATAAAATCATTTTAACCTAAGTTATTTCATGGGAACTTAAAGCTATCAGTTGTTTTTATGTTATCAAAAATAATAATTAAATATATTATATTCTGATAAGAAATAATCTCTCTAGCTACCATGTCCACAACCACAATCATATTCAGTAGTAGGTTGTAATGTGGTACCTTAATATTTGAAATGATGTATAAATACATTAACATTTGAAAAAATGATTTATTTACAATAATTACTGAATTAAAATTATTTATGGCATTTAAAGTTATTATATACATTATTAAGAGTACCTACATATTATTTACAATTAATTCAGTTTTGATAAAATACAAATCATTACTAGTTATACTATACTTTTAAAAATGAGTTATTAACATAACAAATTGTATACTATTTAATATCAGTAAGAACTGAATCGCATTATTTCAATCTAATGTTATAACACATAAAACCGTTTTTGATTTATCTTTTACTTGATGTCTATTATTTGTTTCTACAGTACTACTTCCATTATTTTTAAAACGTTTTGTTTTTAGAATAATTTCATCATTATCAACATTATCTAGGTTCCTATTACTATCTTCATCATCAGAATCTGACAATGTAAATTCTTCTATATTGTTTGTAGATCTACAGGCATTTATTCTAGATATTTTTGAAAATTCTCTATTTTTTCTCACAGACCATGTGCCATCTTTGAAAAAAAAAACATTATCACATTCTTCTATTAGATCTTTACTTTGAAGTATCTTTAAAAAATATTCACATATTACAATGTTTTCAAATTTAATTTTGTTTCTACATAATGGGCATTTCCATGTTTGCTTTTGTTCATTCATCTTTAAGAATTGTATTGCATCAAAACACTCTAAATGCATACAGTCTACACCTCGAGCAGGAAGTTTCATTCTTAATTTAGATAGTGGATCCTTAATAGAAACAACCAGGGAATCTACAAGCATATCGTCATCATTTCCCATTGATTTTTTAATAAGTACTTTAGTTTTATCAGAGGCACATTTGGGTCTTTTTTCAAGTTCTACAAGCAGATCCTTCCAAGTCAATTTTTGGGCCATACAAACACAACCCATATATTTGAGTGGTTCTTCTGACCATGTAATTTCTAATCTATGCGGTAAACAAGTTAAATTTATTTGTTGAGTAATATCTATAGGATCATTGTTTTGCCGTAAACTACATTGATGTCCATTTACAGAAACTGTAATATTATAAGGTAAACGTTTATTAACATTTTCATTAACTTCAATTTGTTGTAATATTAAAATTATTTGAATTTTATATTCTTGTCTGTCAATATTCCATGATTCAAAAACAGAATGTTTAATATAATCTGGTACATTTAATATTTGAGTCATATTGGAAGACCCAGTCTCGAATTGTATAGGCTTTGATAATTGTTGTAATATCTTAAAGAATGGAAAGTTTTCAAATTGTATAGCTGTACTTGAGGTTTCAACAATAGGTTGTAATTGATTTGGTCTTGTTGATGTATAAGACTTACAGGGTATCTGAAATCGAGGTGGTCGTAAATTAATTTGCTGTCGTACAACCGGCACCTGCTCAACCGGTCTAGAGTTAGAGACTTCTACAAGATTTTGATTCATAACTTTTGTTTTTTGAGTTGGAGCAGGATTGTTTGGTATCATATTGGTTCAGCTTAACAGCTTCTCAATTTATTTTAATTTATTTAGACTTAAATCCTATACCAACTCATGAATGTGTTTAATACCTATCTGCCTAAAATAAAAATAAAACAAATTATAGTTTAACAAGTAAGTACATATATATAACAAAAAAGATGGGACAAAAAAATCAATTATTTTTAATGCAATAATATAGTTTAAAATACTACTTCATCATTTCATGTACTTAATATTATGTACACACCTCGGTACACACATATTTATTATTTAATTAATTATAATAAATTTCATCATCATTTGTAATAGGTACTACAAATAATAGCAACATAAATTATTTTTACACAAATATACCTACTTAGGTTCATTATTTTTTTGGTTTATTCATTTAAAACAGGTATGTATACTCTTTCAATTTGTTAAACTCTTGAGATAAGTTATTGACATCAATAAATTTGTTAACAAATTAGCTTCTTCTATAAATGTCTCATAAATCTGCACTTGGTGGGAAAAAGTGGATTACTGGAAGTCAGGATTAAACCAAACAATAATCAGCTGTGCAGATTCTACTCAAATAAAAAACTATCATTTTGGTTATGGTCTGTTATCGCCTTCCCATAATACCGCTAATATATAACACTCATCTATACTATTATATAAAGAGGAATTGTTAGTTACTGTTATCGAGGGTAATCTCTGGAACTACTGAACCGATTTCGAAAATTCTTTCAGCAATAGAAAGCCACAAACTTTGTGAGTGTCATAGGCTAATTTAAAAATGGAATTGATCAACCCCGGTCGTGCTCAAACAGGAATAATGAGATTTACCATAGAAATTTTTGTTTATTAATGGTTACTGTTTATTTATTATTATTTTTTTTTTTTTTAATTATAATATTAATAGAGCGTCTCAATCGCATTTGTTTCAATCAGTCGAAGTTACGATCAGACGAGTACATCCAATAGCGTGACGCCATCACTACTGAAGGAGACGCGGCAAACATTGGTCGTTTAACTATTCTCTCAGCTCTCATACTGGAAGCCCACGCATGATACATTAAATCGTGAATTGCAACGGGAGCAAGAGTGTGATCGAGATGAACTGGCTGAAAGAGTCGAACAAAAGTACTGAAAAAAAGAGCCAAACACCATCTTCCTCTTTTGTTTAACATAACCACAAATCAGTGGAAAACTATACAAATAATTATAAAACTAAATAGCTATGGTGAAACGTATTTACTCGATGATAGTCGCATATTTGATCTTGGTGGTATTAAAAGTAATTCTCAATATTTTATTAAATCCGGTCATATTTTTTACTCAAACCATCATCGAGTAAGTAAGTTTCACCATAATTATTTAGTGGTATAATCACTGGTATAGTTTTCCACTGATTTGTGATTATTTTAAACAAAAGAGGAAGATGGTGTTTTGCTCTTTTGCTCATAATTAAAATTTAAAACATACTGCAACAAGTACAATTTGGTGTTTCTAACTCAGTACCAAGGACTGTATGAACAGCATAAGCTTCTAAATATTTTCTACCTACCAACATAATATATTTTGAAAAAATAAGAAAATCAAATAGAAAAATCTTATACAGTTACAATTGTTATTTAACTTCAAAAGTGGTTCTTTATCAACAGTACACCTAAAAAATTCATGGGAAACAATTTTTAACAGAAAGTATTCCATTAAGTCTGGTAAATGCTTATTCCGATTTTCTCTATCATACTTCATCCATTTCATTAGAGATTTATACACCTATTAATAATTAGAACATTCTTTAGTTTCGGTCAAGCCGTTTTGGAGGAGTTCAATAACAAACACTGTGGCACGACATTGTTATATATTAGATATACCTATCTACTTGATATGCTGTCGCACAATGTCTGCGATTCAACATAGTCAGATTGCCTACCAGGTTGGCTGAATTGTACTTACTGCTGTGAGTTACATCCAAAAGGATTTGAACAATCCTAATGGTTTAAAGGGTTGTAATTTTTTAAGGGCAATGAAGTGCACGGGGTCAGCTAGAATTATAATATATTTATTTTTAATTAATTATTATAAGTTACAAAAATATTGATATATTAAAAATTATAAAAAAACATTAATAATCAAATACCTACCTATTAAAAAATTGTATTATTTAACTTACAAAAGCGGTATATACATTTATATGTTATCACAACGTACCTAGGCCAAAATTCTGAAATATCCAATAAAATTGTATCTAAAGTATTCTTTTCACTAAGCTCTGGCTGCCACATTTAGCACCAGTACTAAGATGTAATTTGTTTCTTCCGTGTTGAAACATATAACATTTTCTCCACCTTTTGAGAGTGAGCTACAGAGGTAGGGTAAAAAAAATTTTACTGGATGATGAGTGATGACAATAACCTATCTATACAATTATTATTCTATTATTCTATTCAATTATTATTCTATTATTCTACAATTTTCAGCAGTCAAAAGTGTTTGTTCGTTGATTGCAGCGGGGCAATAACATAGTACTACCAGCATTTCTTATGCTATTCATAAACAGCTTATTAAGGACAAGGTAGTTATATTATATAACTGTCTCTATTTACAACACATATATATGTATTATGTAATCTATATTATAAATATAATAATCAATTCAAACTGAATAATTATAACCAGGATTAACAATAAGTATGACTAGGGCTGTTCGATTGTCATAAAATATAATCGATTGTCCAAAGTATTAAATAATCGGAAATTTCGATTAATAGAAGATTTTCATCAAAGAGTGCTAGAGTGCTCGATTGTTGAAATAGTCAAGGATCTATCGATTAATCGATTAATTTGATCGATAAATCTATTAAAAAAATATATTAATCGATAAAAACAATCGATTAATCGATTAAAACAAAATATCAATAAAAGTTTAACGCTTTTTAACTGGTTCAAGTATAGGCGTATAGCTCTTTTATATTTCCTGGAAGGTTTAAGTTTATTTTTTAACTCATTTAAGATTTCCCAAAAAATGCAATAGCTTATTATTATATATAATATATATATATATATTATATAATAGATTAATATTTAATATACTTTTGAAATACTAAGAAGTATAAAGGGTATTCTGTTTGATGATTAGAATGATGATAGATAACATTTTGTCTTTGTGTGTGCCGTCCAAGAGCTACAGTGCAAACAGGTCATTTTCCCAGGCCCTAGGGCCTAACATATATTTAATAACAACCACATTTTAATGGGGAGCTAAGAATATGACATAACTAGTGACATACATTTTAAGATCTAAAGTGGTGCCAAAAACTGAAATTGTAATCGTATGTAGATGGGTTATCAATTTTTGTGAAAAGGCTCTAATTTGTAGTTATGAGTTATGACTTATGCTACTATTTTAGGAAATGTATTAAAAATTTTAAAGATTAAAAGTAGTAAAACTCACAGTGCTTGTATTAAAATTAAAATAAATCCTTATCTATTGACTATTTAGCAAGTATCATAATAGTTAATTATTATATTTCATTATGGCCTATAGTTTTCGATTAATCGGTAATGCGATTAATCGGTGATGAATACTTTTAAAAATAATAATCGATTAATCGATGCTACAATAGATTATTTGAAACAATCGAACCGCCCTAGGTATGACCAGATGAGCAAGGTCTGAATCAAAAATCCAGATTCTACTATGATGTATTATTTGGCTTAATTCTAGGTCCTGTACACTAAATTTTTGTATAATCATGTTTAAATTTCCATTTGGGGACTGCATAATAAACCAATTATAATTATAAAAACACCATCAACATTCAACATGGTAGGTACCTAGTAATAATCATTCAGCAAATGTATTTAGGTACCAAACAATAACCTAATATTAAGTTTACAATTTAAGAATAACATGTTATTTAAGAAGGTATGCAAAACAATTTTAATGAGTTAATTATGTAAGGGTAATACCATTGATTAATAAATTATACTATAATCAATGCCATTACAATACTTTTAAAATAATCGCTTTAATATCTACAGTAGCCCATGCACAATACATATGCTCAGTTGATTTAGTATGTTATTATAATAATATTATACTGGTAGGTAAACTTACAATTAAATGACTAATCGATTTCACAATTTTACTTTCAAGAATGACCAACAAGCCTTGATTGAGTGAAATTTCACGTTTAAAACATATTCAAGAAACAATCATCGAGTTGTTCGTCCAAACCATCATTAGACCTAGGTTAACAATTAGTAAATACTGTTAATCATAAAAAGATTCAAAAAACGGATGGTACACAATAGAAATTATACTTATAAAAATAGTTTAACTTACGTTTTGCGATCTGAATAAAAAAAACCAAACGGTGCTGCAAACCAAATATTATATCCAATTAACACTGATGACGCTCTATGTTTCAGATGTCCGTATTATCAGCAATCGTACACAAATAATGGGTTGGACATATTTCCCACAGACTTTATATACGACACTAGACAAGGAACTCCTATACAATTTACTTTGTTACAAAATGAAACTCAGCTGTGGACGGCCGCCATTTTGTCGGTTGGCAAGACTTTCATTTATTATACAAAGTGTGTTAGGAATAATATTTTTTTTTAATGGTCAAATAAAATAGTAAATGTAAAATGACTTATAATGACTTAATAATGGCTAATAATTGGCTATTGACTATCGCCTTGGTCTAAAATAAAGAAATTGGAAAATTTGTAAAAATAAACTTCCTGGCTTAAATTAGTAATTGGCCCTTCGTCTTGTATATGTATAAAAGTAGTACTCGATGTTAGTGATAACGTGTTATCGTCGCGAATAATTCGGAAATAAATAAATTAATTAATTAAATTAAGTATATTTTGAACACAATTTTAAGTGCATAATAATAATAATAATAATATAAGTGCATAAACAAAAGGGGAATTATAAAGTTATTCGATTCAAACTTAATTTCTTTGAAATTTGAAATTTACTAAAGAAATACATTTGGAGGGAAAAAAGTCCAATTACAATTAATTTACACTATAAAAATGTAGGATACATAGGCGCAAATAGAATTTGGGATTGGGGGTCTAAAGCCTTAGGTTGATAATATTGAATAAGCTTGAAACAAAATGTAGGAAATGTTTGGGGGGCTATGGACATTTGGGGGGAGGGCTAATCCAATAAAGCCCCTCCTCCTATTATCGCATATTGTAGGAAAGGTACAATTAATAAAACTTTGTTCTTTAAACATTAAATCCTTGTCCCTTGAATGTAAATTATTGTAGGGTAAGCTATTATCAATTATTGTGGCTTATAAATTGATGTTTATCCTTTTTATTTGGTTTTTACAATAAAAATGTCATAACTGCATTCTGCATATTATATTCTTTCTAGTTTTCTGAAATTATTAGGCATGGCCCAAAAAAGTGCTCCAAGTTTTTAAACTATAACGGATTATTTCAAAATTTTCAGAAACAGTTGAAAAGAGGGAAATTGTCATTTTTAGCTGGATACGTTTAAAAATTAATTTTGATCCCAACAGACTTATTAAGGGTGATGTTAAAGTATGAAACAAACCACATATCATGTGCAGGTTATTTTATATTCATAAATAATAGGCATAATATATAGTTATTATATATTTTTTAACTCTTTATATTAATAAAGTTTAATACTTATTTAATTTATAGCACAATCAATATAGTGTTATATAGACAAATAGTGTATACAGTATATTTGATATTTTGATTTTAATATTGAAATTTATTTAATATAAAACAATTAACACCATAGTTTCTCCATATTTGAATTTTTTAATAGATATTTTAAATTAAAATAAATATAAATTAGGTGTACATAGTTACTATAAATTGTAAAATAAATAAATTTAATGTTATGATGTTAAACACAATATAAAATACTTTTATTTTTTAAGCTATACCGATACTTATTCCGTTATAACTTCACAATATTTTTTAGATAGTCTTAAACTATGACACAATATCTGACTCTCTCTGAACATGCCCAAGAGGACAAGGCATTTTTCACCACATTGCTACTGTTTGTATTTTCATCCATAATAATTTCAGCAATAACCGCTATATTTTAATTCTGTGTCTTTAGAAAGTTCGATATTTCTTAGAATTAGCATCGCTTGTTCTTGGTTATTTAATTTTTCTTTTAGTATATTGACCTATTTATTAAGTTTATTATTATTTATTCCATGGTTCCAAGTTTTTTTCCATTATTGAAATTTTTTTTATAGTTAATTCTTCTTGACACTAAAATCATCAATTTGATAAGAACCTAATAGATTTTTCAACTGACTTAACTGTTTCTGTACAATTTTATATTTTAGTAACTACTTGATATAGACTGAATACTGACAGAACATCTTCGCATAAAATCTTTTTTTGTATACAAAGACATAACATTGAACTCAAACATCTACCGTGCAGCAGAGGCAAACATGTGATCTCAGCTTTTTTAATTTAAAATTATTGACCTTCTTTTTAAAAGAAAGCCAATGGCAGAATTATTGATAAAGAGTTTTTACTTTTCATCACTCTTTACAAATTAGGTATACAATTATTTTTTACTGTACAATTTCTAAGATAAATTAAAGACGATAACATAATATTTATGTATATTAAGAAAGACATTTTATTTTCAATAAACAATTATTTTACCTAATATTTCCAACATTGTATAAATATTAAATAGGTATACAAAATTGACAGGTTAAGTATTTTAACAATAATTAAAATTAACAAAATAAAAAATATAAATGTTTAAATTGAATGCTGGTTTTTGAATATATGAAATACCCTGTAGTGTCAAAGTAATAACTATAATAATATAACATGTATAGTGTATACCAACAAAAAAATTAACATTTTCAATTCAATATCCATACAATAAATTTAACTGGAATACACACCATACTATAATTAATTGTGAATTGAGAATAACTGCCTCAATTCATCCGTATTAGGATGGTACTTGAACAAATAACATCATAAATCATTAATTTTACAACATACTATTTAAAATAGACTTATCCATAGCAAAAATAATATTATTACATTATTATTTTTATATAAATATAGAAAATTAAAATTTTAAAATTTTAGTACAGCAGAGTAGGGCAATACAATTTTGCAGACTTGCAAAACCTGGAGTATCCTCTACACTTATCTGAATAAGAACATTTAAAAAAAAAAAAAAAAATGTTTGCTTAAAATATTAAATTATTAATTAAAAACAAGTATGGCAAAACATACATAAAAACTTAAAAAATAAAGATTGTATGCAAAATTCTGGTAAATTTAATATTTTATAAATATAAAATGTTGAAAATTTACTAAAAACAAACGAGTCTTATAAATATAAAAAACTAAACTGAACTGATTTTTGATTTTTTATAACTCTGTACAGCGTATACAGTAACATATAAAAGGGAATACAAAGTTTCAATATTATTTATAATTTGTAGAATTAATTATTAAACATAAATACAATAGTCAATACTAAAATCAAAATAAGATAATCGATCAATCATTTGACAGTCAAATCCACGATATAACAACTAAAAGTATTTGTTTATGCAAGTAAACTTTCTCATCTAAGTAGTTAAAAGTAGAATAGGAATTTGTTGATATTATAAACAACAAAAAAATATAAAAAAAAAAAAAAAAACATCAAACTTATAATATACCTATACAAATTTAAAAGTAATTGTTTAGTATTAAATATTCATTACTTATTGTATCACTTCTTCATCGTCATCTTCATCATCACCATAATCAAGATTACTTGTTGCTGGCATAACAGCTTCTTTTAATGGGCAATACTTACACCTTAAAAATAAAAAGTTTTAGAGCAATGTATAAAATATAATGAGAAACTCATGATAAATTACCGGCTCTGGTTTAATCCATAATTCAAACACCGTTCATTAACACATTCACAACATCCATCATGGAACCAGCGGTAGCTTTTAGCACCCATTGTTATACAATCTGCCTTACATTTAATCCAAGTTGAACATTTATTCATGAATACAACAGAACAATTCACTGTTACTATAGAAGATACATCTTCGGCTGAGTTGTCTAAATTTCAAATTTCATTAGTAATTATTTTAAATTTATAGATAGTTAAATGTCATTTACTTTGCAGCGACATGAAGTCTTTCTGAAAATCTGGTTTGAACATCTTAATGTCTAAATCGATGGGGTATGTTAGAGATTCAAATCGTTGTTGTGGATCTGGTTCCGAAGCAAGAGCAGTAAACAAAGTTACTATGGGTTCTGGCAGATCTTCAACTTGACTTTTTTTACTCAATTCATCAACAGTAACGTTTGGTTCTGGACACATGTCTAAAATCATGGAACATCAATAATTAGTAATGTATTATATAAATATGTTCATATTACCTATCAGAGGAAGTGTTTATATTTTATATTAAGTACTGCACATATTGCAGAGTTCAAATTTTTGATAATAATTTCACATTAACTATTAAGTAGGAAGTTAATTACTTTGTCTCATAAATAAAAAGAAGAATTTGTTTACTTAATAGTTTTAATCAAATCTAAATACAAGAAAATAGTAATGCCATTAATGATGTAAAAATACTTAGGTTATGGAATTCAATTTTACTAACAATAGTGCCTATACCTATATGATTTAGTTTCCTACATTCATGATACCTGATCATAAATGTAATTGGGTAAGATCATCAGACTATTTTATGATTAAACTATGGTTATTGTTTTACTTCCGAAATATTTAACAGTAATAAACCGTCATACAACTCTTGAACAAATTTTAAAGCAAAAGCTATTTGTATGTAAAGTACTACAGTGTCTTATGATGGTAATGGGCACAACTGAAGATGTAATTGTTTATTGTTGACCAGTAAGTTATCAACATTAATATATCGATAGTGTTGTATGGAAGGAATGAAAAATCATGACAAACAATCAATAACAGGTAGTCCACAGACAGAACCCGATTAGCCAAACCGACATACACCTAACTTAACACTATGTTTACGGCTCACCCACGCATGAGCAGCATTCACTGTACAGATTGCTGAGGCAACTGAAACATTCTTTGCAGCACGAACAGTTTACCATGTCGCACTTACACGACTGTAGGATCATGCACTTAGAGACAATAGATGCGCACACAGCCTCGTTGCACGCGTAAGTAACGCATGCAAACGCAACCATTGCCCCGACGACAGTGACAAGAAATATGTTTTTCATTTCTTGGTGGATGGCTCCTAGAAAATTATGTATGTTAGTGTCATTATGTATTGAACAATATATTATAATGATTACCTATTTTTCGTGCACAATCACCGTGTGTTACCTGCACGCACAATTGTAAAGTCACTGTAGTCTATGAATACCGATGGACACTATTATCTCAATACCTAATACAATAAATTAATATGATTAACAATAATTATAAAATATTACCTAGGTATGTATAAGTATATAAGGTTGAGTAATATTACTAATAGATAATTAAAAGAACATAAATTCATTGTAATAATTACTGTGTTGAGATGAGAACAGTTTTGGATGGTGTGAAATGCAAGCTGGAAATGGACATCACCAGCTGCTAGATATCTTCAATACCTACAATGTAGGAAATATAATATATATCACTAATGTCTGTATGCATAGTAAATGTATGTGTCACATAAGACATGTGACATATAAATTGACTAGGTATACATATGGAAATAAGATTATTATAATACCTACCTAATGAAAAATTACCGTTACCATATTAAGTGTGTGGTTGAGTATATATTTGCATATATATTTATTTGTAAATTGAAGTAGGTAAGTATTTTTATTTAGAGTGATATTTTAAGTGTGTTTAATAGAAACATTTTATTTTTACCATAAATGAGATATAATATAGGAATATAATTGCAGGTGATGAAACAAAGTAATGTTAAATATTATGTTTTTAAAAATAAACCAATTACCAATTTTTTAATTGAATTAGTAGAGTTAGTAGAGTTAAATGATAATCTATAGAGTGTTATAAAACCAGTAAGTACATACTTTTTCGTGCGTGCAACAACGTAGCTCGTGCAGTTTACATAAACAAATATTAAAAATTAACCACGAATAAAAAAAGCATGGTTTTCAAAGACTCTTATCAGACGTTTCAACTTTGTAAATAGTTCCAACAGCATACCCCTACGAACGCTAGTAGTAAGTATGGGCAAATTGAAGATACCACGGTTTTAGGGGGGATATTATGGTATGGGCCCAAAGTGAACCACATTATAAATCATTACTCAAAAAAATTCAATTGGTGTTATTAAAAATCCGTGATTATAATCATAGATAATTTTTTTTTTGTATCAATGATCAATTACATTTAATAATAAATAAGAATCATATATGAACAATTTCCAAAACTTATAATAATTCTGAGGGAAATATTCTCGTGAGTCGTAATAGAGAACGCGGAATAAATAAGAAAAAATGGGTAATATATTTTTAATATCACCTCATTTTTATATTTTGTACAAGTTATTTCTCTGATATCTATTTTAATAGTTATTTTAGTTCTCTTATTCGATTTCCTATTCAGTACTTTTCTTTTTTAAATAATTAAAATTTTAAAAACGTTTGTTGAATAAAAAAATTCAATAAATACATATTTTAGTTTACATTTCTCAAAAACAGTTTCTGTATTTCAGTAATAACTAGAGGAGCTTTTGAATACAGGAATGCAGCGCTCGTGGTGAGCATGCACAGTTGGTATCGTGCGCACAACGTGGATATTAGATAACATGTTGATTATCAGTTATCGCAGTAATTTATGCGGCAAACTAAAATTTTGAATAAATATGCTATAAATGGTATGATGTTCTAAACTCACAAACTCTTACCCAAACAGGGTTTAAGCTATCTTTATGATGCTATATAGATAGCCCAATTTGTGTAATATTTAACGATGATAATAATTGATTGTTTTAAGTTAATGCATTTTTTATTCAGATATTATTGTTTTTACTAGAAAATCCACATGTTTGATATGGCCACCAAACAGTGGCAATTCCTTCCAGTTAAATATTTGGATGTTCATTGAAGCACTACAGAGATCAAATTCATAATAGCAACTATTAAATTGTTAAACATCCAAACTGGTACAATTTTTACAAAAAAAATTGAACAAGGGCTAAAAATATGTGTTTAGGCATAACAAAAGAATCAGAAATCAAATGTTTTTACAAAATGTATCATTTTTATGTCTTAATTTTCAGTCATTTTTAATAATTATGAATTATATTTTATTTAGACAATATTTTAGCTACCTATCATATTTATTTAAAATAAAATTTTTGTATAGGAATTTTTAGCCTTTTTTATTAATTATTAATATTCACTGTAGGGCTTAATCCCACCCACCAATAGATAAGTTTATGACGTTTTTCTACAGGTATGTCAATTTATTTATAATGATTTATTTAAACATCTTGTGGTAGGGGTGATCACTGTTAGAGTCTAGAGAGATTTATAATACTAATCAGATTAGAACCGGATGTTACACATGCGGAAAATCTAATCATTTTGCAAGGGACTGTTGGCAGACAGTAGGTCGGCCGAGTACACAACAAAACACTTATAATAATAATCGCAGCAACGGCGCCCGTAATACCGGCAATAAAAATAATCCTGTAGGCAGTAGTAGCGCACAAAATGTACATTGCAGTTTTTGTAATAAAGTAGGAAATGAAATTGCGAACTGTTTTACGAAACAGAAAAATAATTCGAAAAACTCCAGGGCACAACCTCAGGTTAGGTTAGGTTAGTCCAAGAAATGGTACAAGACCTACAAAACGAATTTTCCACATCACAACTCGATTAATAGATAGTCATATTACGTTAAAATCACCCAGTTTCAATAAGGATCAAATTAAATTATTAGTTGACACAGGTGCGGATCTGAACATTATCAAAATTAATGCTTTAAAGGGAGATACCTACTGAAATTAATGAAAAAGAAAAAAATTATTTAAAGGGTATCAATGAAAATATAGTGTCCACAATAGGAAAAACAGAAATAGATTTAATAATAGATAATAAAGCATTTGAAACAGAATTTTAAGTAGTTAGTAAAATTTTTCTGATATCCGGAGACGGAATCATAGGTAATAAGTTTTTAACAGATAACCACGCAATAATAGTTGTCGCCAATAATACAATTACGATAAATGAAAGTAAAACAGAAAACTATTATAATATTTGTTTCACATTGCAACCGCGTTCAGAAACAGTATAGTCAGTAGTACAAATCGATATACCTAGCAGATAAACGTTCGTGAAAAAACGTTCTAGAATGTTTAACTTAAAAATTGAAATTGAATAGTAAGTAAATGTAATAACAAATTAATAGAAGGTAAGTAAATTTCGTCAACCAAAGAATGTTCAACATTTAAAAAAAAAAAAAAGTGGATAAGTGGATGTCACTCTACTGTACAGTAGGTTTCAAGTGGGTCACTGTATAATGTACGGTATTAAATTTGAATTCAATTATGTAATATCATTGTATAAGAGAAACGATTCTGAGCGAAGACGGTCAGTCAGTCAGTCAGTCAGTCAGCCTATGATATAACTATAAGTACCTATATTTGATGATATTATTGTGAATAAAGTAATTTATATATAACCTATTTACGTGGAACCTTGTTTTAAATTTTCAACCCTTGGCTATAAACGTTGAACATTTTATACATTTTTAACTACAATATAATTATTAAATTTTAAATTTGATACATTTTTTCAAAATTCCAGCCTTAAATACTCTTAAAGAAAAATTGTGTGTATTTTTTTTAATATTTTTTAACTGCCATTTAAGCAATATATCAGGAGCCTTGTATTAAATTTTCACACATTTTTACCTAACAAATACAATTTTATTGACAATTATAGAAAAAAAGGCCTTAGCTATAAAACCCTTAATGCAATGATGCGAAAAAAATAATAGTAATAACTGAAAAGCTATATCATAAAATCAAGGTTTTTCCAAATATGTATAGGTTAGGTTAGGTTAAATTTCCTTGAAATATGATTTTTTTTTAAAAAAAAAGAAAGAAAGTCTTGAATATACATCAATAATAATCGTAACTACACAAATACAAGGTTAATAATAATTCGATGATTGTTTTTGGTACCTAATTTAAATATTTATATATACAATAGGCTCAAAATCAACATACCAGTTTGATACGGTTAAACTTTTGTACCTAACTGAATTTACCACAAAGTTTGTTGAACAAACTAACCTACTAACCTAGTTTAAAACATAACGTCTACTATTATAGATATTGTAAGATTTAAGATTTCTATTCAATGTGTCGACGTTTTTATTGATTGAATGTCTAAATTCAAGATTTTGGATCAAATACAATTAAAAATATCTACCTATTATATTTATACAATAAAATATGCAAGGTAATAACATTTTTATATTTACAATCATTTTCGGGAAAAGAAATTCCTAAACGTATTACGTCCATTGCAAATTAAGGGGCCTATGTCAAAATATTTTATCTATGGTCAACGCTGTATTGGTACATTTATTGGTGTTCTAAAAAAAAATTAAATACAAAATTATACATTATAATTTATTATAGGTATATAATACTGAGGTCGAGGTGGGTACCTATATACTATTAATACCTATCCATTTTTGAAAAAAATCATTAATACCAGCCATTTAAAAACACTAAACTACAAATAAATGTTACCTACGATTATAAGATTATAATTAGTACCTACATTGTAGGTATACGTATCTCTACTAGGTAGGTACAAGGTACCTATATAATTTGTCCAATTGTCCATAGTATATTCTTGAAAAACAAAACTATTGTGGTTCATAAATGAAACATAGCAACCCCTCGTAGGTGACTACGTCGTACGTCATCAATAAACGAACGTATAAAACTGAAATATAATATTATATATTTATATGCACAGCCACATAGGTACATTTTTCTAAATGTAGCATGGTTACAGATTCGTAATTTGCTAGTTATATATTCAACAAAATGTGTTAACGTAATACATTAGTTTAGTTAGGTACCTACCTATACCTCCTCTAACTACAAAACGTACTTACGTATTGCAAACGTGATGGCTACGGTTAAGAGTTACGAAAAATGTCATATTTTGATAAAAATGTAGGTAATGGTTATTTGTAGATACAACCAAGATTCAAATCGTACAGT